ATATATATATATTCATGAGTTGCTCTTGCTGTAGAAAAAAATAACTTATGGATATATTATTTTGCTTTAGGATATACAGCATTAATTAGATCCTTTGTATAGAAAAATTCTTGATGTAGAACATTAAATATTGCTGGACATTTCAAGAATATAAATGTATTATGGTTTGTCTGTATCATGTTTGGTTCACTCTGATTATATATGCAATTTCTTGCTTTTTAGATCCTTCATTTATTCTGTATCTAAAGGATAATATATATAGCTTCCCCTGAGTGCAACTCTGTGGACTTCTTATTATATTTCAACCTTGTTTTGGAGTGTAACTGCATAAACCCTAGAAGAAAAAAATATTTTTTTTTCCCTTCAGTTATCTTTCTCTTTCTTTACAGCTATGCTTTGCAAAAGATCTTCCAAATGTAAAGTTACCACTTGCCACCATATCTAGGTTAGGTTTCTATTAAAGCATGAAGTTATTTATTTTCTTTTCCCATCAATCCGCAAAAACCAGAGATCCTCCAAACAGTTTAATTCCCTTTAATATCTGTCATAGATCCATGAATCCAAATAGAAAAGTGGGGACAAAGTGGTTTAAAAAAGTAGATTGAGGCCTATGTATCTTCTATGCTCAAGCATATATGTATATATATATATATATGTATGTATGTATATTAAAACATGCTATTTCGTTTTCTTTTCCCTTAAAATTACAAGTTCAGAGCAATTGTTATTTCTAAGAAATCCCTACATTGCTAACGATTTAAGTAGTTTAATAGTAATTAATCTCTTTCTAATAAAACAAGAGGTTTTAATTTTAAATTGCATAATATACAGATGAGGTCTTGAATTTGAATTGTATGGCAAGTGGAGTGAGTTAAAAAATAGAAAAAAATGAAAGAAGTAAAAGTGTAACCTCCAATCATATAACCTAAGATGAAAATAAAAAATAAATAATAAATTTATGCTTTAAACTTGATACTCTTAGTTAGTTAAAGAATTAAAATCAAAACCTTGAGAGAAGAAATGATCTCTAAATTAATAGAGGTGTGAAATCCCAATAATTAGTCGAAAACATTTTGAAATATATATATATATATGTTGAGCCACATGACCAAACCGGGGACCATGACACACTATTTATGAGATGTTCTTATATTATTATTGCCACATTTACATACAAATCGATCAGTCCAACTAATTTATTCAATAAGGTTCCTCTATTATTTAATCATTCATTATTATTAAAATTGCTGCAAAAATCAGCCTGCAGTTTCACTTATTATTATTATTTTTATTTTCATTGCTAAGTTAATTTTTAATTTGGTGCTTTTGTTTTTCCAAATCTCGCCTCACCAACTGGTATATACCAACTTGGAGTATACCAGTTGAGACACGCCTAGAGGCTTCATTTCCTAAGCTATGGTTACCAATCAAATTGATGAATCCATTGCTATCACTTTTCACTTTCTGAGTTCATGTATATATCTTTTTCTCCATTGCTATCGCTTTTCGGTTCATGTATATCTTGTATCTTTTTCTTTCTTAAATTTTGTTTTCTTTTATGAAAGAGATAGTTGATCTCCTCAACACTGAAATTTAACAATCAACATATTTTTGAAAAGGAAAAGAGCAATTAATTCCCTCTTTATTTTGATTTTGATATTTTTTTAGTGAAGGAAGTTTGGAAAATAATTGCTATATATTTGACTATGTGAAAAGGGGGCATCAAGGTTTCGTATATTTAAGAGTTTGGACTTAAACTTTTTCCAAAGCACTAATCAATTATTGCTTCTAGATGCTTTTCTAAAAAAAAAATTATTGCTTCTAGATCAAGCTCTCATGAGATAAATATACTAACCTGAGGGAACTTTTTTTAGTCGGTAAAATTAAGGAGATTGCATTGCCAAAGAGTACTAGGGTTACTCACACGAAAGCAGACACTTGAGCTTGTATGGAGGAGGTGCATATGTCTCCCCTTTCAAGTGTTAAAAATAGATATTCAAATTCAGGATCTTTTAGTGACTCTACCATTCCATAGAGCTAAGATCCCATTCAATTTGGACGTATTGAAAGTTAAATTCTAGTGTTACATCTTTATCTCATCTACAAAATGTATTGATTATAGGCACCAAAAACCACAAGAAATCAAAAAGAGAGGATTGAAGGTAGCTAGATATTTGAGTGAGTGTGTACGTGGGGGTCATTTTCTTTCAATGGATTGATTGGACACGGGTAAGTATATTCCATGGAGCAAGAGGGCACACAAATTGACAATAAGGTCGCTAATGCTATACCTCACAAATGGCTTTTCTCTATGAGAAGTGGTTCATTTCACTATCACCTAAAGGAATCATTATCTTAAAACCACACATATTAAAAACCATTCCTTTCTAGGGAAATGTACAAAACAACTTTATAAATTTTCATAACAATTGCTGGTTAATTTTGGAATAGATATTGATGCACAATGGAAATTAGTGCACCTTCTTTTTTCCATTTTTCCTGGAGAGAAGATATATGCCATCACAAAGTCCGCAATATATCTCCACTCTTTTGAATTTTGGTCTCATGTATCTTCTCCAGTTTCCAGCTTTCACATGCTTAGATACTACTATCTACCATGACATGTATAAGTCCATATACATGATCAATATGGAGGTATTTAAAGCAACTAAAGTTTTGAGTTCAAATTTTGTGTTTGTTATATAACTTTTGTTAAGTTGCTATAGTTTTATATTCAAGTTCTTTAGAATCTAATGGTTTATTTGATCGGAGAAACATAAAGGAGAAGAGATGGAAATAGAACAAGTTAAAATGAATAAATGAAGTGAAAACAGAAAATTAAATAAAAGATGATTCTTCCCTTCCCTCCCATTTAATTTTTTTCTTATCTGAATAGAGGAAGCTCCTCCCCCTTTCGTTTCCCTTAAAAGCAAACAAGTACTAACAACCGGTTTTAGGATTTAAAATTTTGGGACAAAGAATCTGCTATGGATGTTGAAAATTCATATGTGGGGCAATATTTGGAGCATTGTTTTCAAGGCCCGGCTAATGAAAAAGAAATGGATAAGGGTGTGTGGGGAATAGGTGTTTTGATCTTTTTGCATCAATGAATCTACTTAAAAGAATGGCGTTTTGATTGATGGAGCTGTATTCAGTTAGGGTTATTGTCACCAATGTTTTTATCAAAGTTATCTATTGTAACTATAATTTTATCAATTTATAACTTTTTTCTCTTAAACAATTAATTATAATATTTAAAAATATTTGTTTATAAACTAATTTTAATCTGTTAAATAATAAATATTAACTATTTTATAAAGTAACAGTTATTTTTAATAATTAAATTAAAAAAATTAATAATTTAGGTAGCAGTATTGTCAAACCATATTATCCAGCTAATTAAATTCTTTACATAACTTAGGCCCATACAATTGTATTGTATTGGGAAAAAGCAGCCGAGCTCTGACCCACAAATTGAACCTGATCTGTTTTTCAGGTACAAAATCATTCTGGACCAGTTCAAGATCCTGAACAATTTTTCAGGTCCATGTGCTTTGCACCATGGCCCATATCTATCATTTATGGGACCATTCACAATTTTTTAGCCTAATAATTGCAGATTAAGCAAAGCACTTAATATGAAAATTTTAATTGGACAGCCTTAATTGCCCAACTGTCATTGTATTGATTACACATTAAAAACTCTCTTCAAAAACCCCAGAAGGGGCAGGGCATGGTATTTGTTCCATGATTTGATTTTGAATACGAAACCTTTAATTTAGAAGTGCTATACTCAAATCTCCAGCTAAGTTTGTAGAGAAAGATGTAAAAAAAGATGTCAACTTTACAATTTTTTTTATTTAAGGATGTTAAGTTTATCAATTTTTAAATAAGAATGTCAACTTTTAACATTTTCTATTTAAGGATGTCATCTTTCAACTTTTTTTATTTAAGAATACTAATTTTTAACATTTCGGTTAGAAAATTCATTTGCTACATTAGCATCATTATCCAATTAATCATTACGTAGAAAAAGTTTAAAATTATTATTCTTAAATAAAAAAAATTAAAAATTGACATTCTTAAATAGAAAATGTTAAAAGCTGATATCCTTATTTAAAAATTAACAAAATTAACATCCTTAAATAAAAAAAATTATCGAATTGATATCCTTTTTCACACCTTTACTCTAAGTTTGTATGCATTAATTAGATTAAGTCTGCATTTTCAGTCTAGCCAGAGAGTTATGCTGGACCACTATGGAGTTGGCAATAAGTTGGTTCTATGGTTGGCATTGTGAGGAAAAGTCTCCAGGCAGGCAGGACCCAGCAATGTGCCAACCTTTTTGATCAGGTAAAGCACCAATTATTCCAAACGTTATTCTAAAAATTCTCAACTTTCTAGAGTGGGATCTCATCTAACTGAGTGATGGAAAATGAGACAACTCAACATTTGCTGTTCCATATTCAGCATTCATATCTGCCTCATGAGAAAAATGAGCATTAAAAAAAACAGATGGCGTTTGGTTAAATAGAAAGATTTGGAAATTTTGAGAAAATGTTAGGTTTTGTGATTTTCTGGTCAGAATTTTTCTGCCAAATTCTCAAATAGAAAAAAAAAAAAATCAAATGAGTTTCATGTTTTATAATTCATATTTTATCAAGTTGTAAAATGGAAATTATTGAATAAAATTAAGAGAGCTTAATATTAAGAGATTTATCTTCGTTTAAATGACTTTTATATTTATCAAATTGTAAAATAAAAATCATTAAATAAAAAAAAATTCTCTAATATCAAAGAATCTACTCTCATTTAATACACAAAATTATACAATTCAAATTTCACAATATTTTTTCAAAACCAAATTATCAAAATCCTTTTTCAAACGGTCAGAAGATTAGCCTCAAAACCCCATTTCCTAGAATCAAAAAACAGCCTTCCTGGAAATACCAATTCAACGGTCCATTATTCCTTTATAAATATATAAAAACACATCAAAACCTTAATGCTTCGTTGCTAAGACCGTTTCCATCTTCCTTCTCAGAAGATGCAAGTAAGCCCTCAACAATTAAGTGCCATGGAAGGGGTAATACTTCCCTCAAGGCGATCTCCTCCGGTTGGAGTCACCGTGGACGACAATCCTGGTCGTCGCAGTTGTTATATGGCGTGGCCTAATTCGTCTCCTAGACCCCGACCCAAGTGCACCTGCTCGAACCATCCTGGCTCAACCCGTTGCAGCCGCCATGGGTACATGGTCCCTAGCCAGAAGCCAAGAAAGGGTTGTGCTAATAAAGAGATCCTGAGGAGGGCGTTGACACCGCCAAACCGGAGGCTGACTCCTAGATGGTGGAATTTCCGGCCGACCCCTAGCCGGCTCTCCAACATGTCCACGGCTTAAAGTGCAGGTGTAGCTATTTCTCTTTAATTTGATGAAACAGAGTATGTAAAAATCTTAAAATTTGGGCTGATATTAATGTATATTATAAAGTCTAGACATTGATTTTGCATGTACACTTTGAGATCTAATTTTTGCAATTTGGTTTAAATTTTTCTGAAATTTCGAGAAAGTCAATTTTTGTCAATTATTTTTCTTCTTTTCTTTTACAAAGATCCATGAAAAAAAATTTTGAAGTACAAAGTACAAACTGCAAATATGTCCCTATACTCTGTCTTCATTAGGGGTTATATGTCTTTCACCAAAAGTTTTGGGTCAAAGTGCACCAACTACAAATCAAGAAGGAGGCGATAGCAATCTGCATTGAAAAAGAAAGAAGAAGAACCAGCTTCCAACTACCCCATATAATATTAGCTCATTCTGTTATTGTTAGGGTTCTGCATTCCCCTGCTCCAGAAACCATTCAAAAATCCAATCTTTAGCATTCTCCCATATATTTCTCTTCAAATCCAGTTATCTCTTGGCTTTCTACACAGCTTCTGCCCCAAAAACATGTCGAAGCAAGGAAATGTTGGATTTGATTTCCCAGAAGACGTCTTTGTCCACATCTTTCTCAATCTGCCCATCAAAGCCATCCTGATATGCACTTGTGTCTGCAAAACCTGGAATGCCATCATCAAGGGCCCCTCATTCATTTCGTCACACCTTAATCACTCGATCTCCTGGCACAAGGAAAGCAACATCCCCCTCTGCCTCCTCCGGTACTGCTCCCTGCATACCTTAAAAGAGCGATACTCCTTGCGCTTTGACACTCAAGAGCTTGGTAAGTACGCCCGGATTCATTTCCCGTACCGATCCCATTTTGGGTTCAAGATATTTGGCTCTTGCAACGGATTGGTCTGTTTGTTGGGGGGTAAGAGTTATTCCACTGAGCACTTAATTTTATGGAACCCTGTTATTAGAAAATCCATGATCCTCCCAAAACGAGGTTTAACTGGGTTAGATTCAGTTGGGTTGGGATCGGATTCTGGAACAAATGATTATAAGGTTTTGGTAGTTTCTCCATTAAAGAATGTTTCTATAAAGGCTGAGCTTTATTCCCTCAAGGCTAATACTTGGAAACGGCTTAGGGATGTTGAATCACAGTGTCAGATGGTCACAAATGGGCCAATGGCTTTTCTTAATGGAATTCTCCATTTTGTTGCATATAGGTTTCAGAACTTGATTTTGGGGTTTGATGTCGGTGGTGAGGTTTGTCGCGAAATTATGTTGCCAGATCGTTTGGCGCATTGCCACCTAAGTGATCTTTCTGTTAAGGTATGTGCGGATTCTTTGTCAGTTTTGTTCTCAAGTGATACTAATAGGGTCTTCCAAATATGGGTAATGAAAGAGTATGGTGTAGAAGGATCGTGGACTCAACTGTCCAACATCACCATGTTGCCATGGTCGCCATTGCCAAGGGTATTGTGCTTTAGAAAGAATGGCCATGTCTTATTGAGTGTGGCAAATGGCTATCTGATGAATAGCCCTGCACAGATAGTTTCATATGATCCAAAACACAGAATGAGGGAGGTTCTTGACATTCAGGGAAAACATGATTGGTTTTTTGTTGATAGTTACATAGAAAGCCTAGTTTTACTGGATAAAGGTAATGATCTAAGTCTTTGGTATCAAGAAAACGGATCTTGTGATGCATATGAAGAAAGTGATGATGGTGCTTCAAGCAGTGCAGCTTGTGCAATGTATTTACAGGGTACTACAAGCAGTGCAACCAGTACAAGGAGTGCCATGGATGATTTGTGTGATGATTCAAGGAATGATGAAAATGCTGATTTGAGAGAAGATTCAGAGGCACGTTCAAGTGATTATTCAAGTGGAGAAGCTAGGAAGGATACAAGTGCATCAGGTGCAAGTAAGGATTTAAGTAAAGGTGAAGCAGCTGCAAATGAAGAATTAAGCAATAATGTAGCTGATGATTCAAGTTTTCATGTTAGTAATGAATTGGGTGGCAACACAAATGGTACCAATGATGCACCCTCCAAATAGGGTGTGTTGACAGGCAAGTGGTTTTCTTGATCATTTAACAAGTCTCTAATATCTTCATTTTATAGACACCATTGCGATTCCATATTCTATTTTTGCAAAAATTAAATCTAACCTAGTACCATATTTAACTTCTGAAATGTTAGTATGTTGTTGCCTTGATTGAGCCGTTGAAAAGTGCCAAGTTTAACTTCCTTTTTTCTTTAATCTAAGTTTTGCATTTCTTATCTCGGTTTTCTCTCTAAAATTGTGTTTGCCACTGAACTATATCGTGGGTTAATGTGCAATATTTTTTCGGTTTTCAGTCACCCCACGCTTTAGTGATGTTAATAGTAATAAAAGTTGAAAAATAAAAGGCTTGAGTGAGCTCTTACATTCTCTCTTGGATCTATATAAGTGAAACCATGTGTTTACTCTCGATTTGCCATAAAATAGAGCTTCACTTTAAACCCTTTCTTTTATTCTTTTTCTGTAAATCCTAATGCAGGATACCATGACCAAATGAGTACGGAGCTGTGGACAATGAAGTCATCTTTCAACATATCATGTTCAGATTCATCCAAAGTTGTATCGGTAGTGTTTTGTGCTTATGTTAGACCTTGTATCTGGATACCCTGACCTCGTAGTTGCTCTTATGTGAACTATCAGCAGCATAACCTCAAGTTTATGTTTGTAATGCTAAGTTATAATTTGCTAAGTTGCGTACTTGTTTGTAGAAATGTCAATTCCGCATCTGCACTCTGAAATGAAGGAATTGATCTTCTTGCAATTGAGAATCACAAGTATTTATTTCTGGTGGCTAATTCATAGGATTTTTTTTGAGATAACATGCACCACAGACTCCTATATTTCGTAATGGATGCCTCTTTGACTTCTTCGCAAGGAACACTGAAATGGGACCATATACTCTGTCTCTTTCCTTGGGATGAAATTTTCTACCAGTTTAACTCGTAAATTTCGACCATTAGAAGGCATTAAACTGCAAAGATCATAGTAGAATTTCATAGATAGAATTAAAAGGAAGATGAATATGATAGTGTATATGCATGCAACTGTCCGTTGCCTGCAATGTGTAAGCATATGTGATCAAGCCTGTACAGCCGCCTCCTTGTTCCCGCATCATGGAACCCTCTTTGACGAAGCTGGATATCCTCTCCCCTGTCCTTTTCCAGTTGTTTCCATAACTCCATTCACTCCTGCTTAAAAGAATGGGTGGGATAAGATAAAAGGGTCATGAGATTGAATCCCAGAACCCTTACATATGCAACGCAATGAAGGAGTTTGATTCCTACCTCATGTGGCCCCATGGATGACGAACTGGGAGTTACTTCTGCTGGTGCCTCTGAAATTCTAGCTTCTGATTTTTCATTTGAATAACTAGCAAAAGAGAAAAAAAAATTTCAAATTTTAATAACAAACTGACATTAAAGTAAACATCAATTTAGGAACAATTGACCAGCCAACACAAAAGATATAGACACATGGGCATGTCACATTCAGATGAACACAACTTGGACATTCAAACCTTGGAGAGAATGTGTGGTAAAGAAATATTGGGTCCACTGCTTTCCCTTCCCCACAACCCAAAGGACAAAAAAAATCCAATTATAAAACTGTCTTCTAAATATAATCATCACAAATATATTCTGGTGAAGAATAGGTGATATGACAAAAGGGTTCCACTAACCACATTACAATTAACAGTTAGATTCTTCTAAAAGAACAAAGACAGCAGACGGTATATTCACCAAACCACGACCTTAGATTTCTTCAATTTTGATTCACAAAGATTTATTTTATGTACAGCTCAGAAACCCACGGGAAATTGAAAATTTTAGAACGCTCTAGAGTAGCATCAATGACAATGTTCATAAAAAAGAACACTAAAATAATTGGTTGTTCTCTTCTCTTTGGTAATTTAGAATTTAGTGTGCTTAGCTAATGGCTATTACGAAGTTCTGAATATTCATGTGGGTATCGACTTGGGTAAACTCTTTCTAGCAAGATAATTGACTTTTCTAAACTATCAATTAGATACTTACGTTGAGAGTATTGTCACCCAAATAAGTTCAACGATGTCCACCCAAAGAAGCCTTTGTTCTACTGGGACCAATCCATAAGTGATAACATGAGCAAATGGCCAAAGTTTCCACCCAGCCTGCAGTACGTCAAACCAGAGGTATACAGAAGTCAGCAATGGTTACTGATTCCAAAGTTGCCTTAATGTTGCATGTGAGAAAGGTTACTGATTCCAAAGTTGCCTTAATGTTGCATGTGAGAAAAAATCTTTCAAACAATCACGAATCTTTGTGTGGAGTGTAATCAAACTAGCTATATGAAGATCATCTTAAAATCAAGATTAGATAGGAAAATTGAGGCAGAGAGAAAAAAAGGGAATAAACAATGCAGGGTTTGTTCTAAATGTGGGATGAAGAGTTCAAGAAGAAGGGAAAGGAAGTCTTACCACCAGCATAGGCCAGAATGTTGCCTTCATATCAGCAAAAATATTGACAGGAGATTCAAGACGCAAAAATCCCAAAACTACATAATATATGCTATTCCAAACTATTGCCCAAGCAGTTTGGTCAAATACCACTTTGGCAGGAACCACCCACCAGTCTTGGAAAGGAAAAAGCTCCTGAAAAAAGATAATTTTTTATTTTTCTTTTTGACAGACCATATAAAAACATCTTCTAGCAAACCCAACACACAAAAAAGAAAAATGCATGATTATCACCTCACAAAACTGGTAATAATAATGAGAAAGAGAACCGTGCAGAGTGAAACCAACTAGACCAGATCTAAACATCCGTGTACGGTCAAACTCAAATAGAGGTTTCCCTTCAAAGCACTGCAAGTTATTGAATAATGTGAGTAAATTCATTAACATAAAACTTTTCAGCATTTAAAGTGCTCTTTATTTTCAACATGAAGTTACCTGTGCAATCCAATCCCCCAGAGAGTACACAACTCCACTAATTACCATTTTTGCTAGAACAGGATTCGTCTTCAAAGCGTCCTCATAAGCAGACCAGTTATGCTGTGGAGCATATCTTAAAATCTCAAAAAGAGTCCATCCCTAAGAGAAACCAAATGAAATGAGTTCAAGAAAATGGTCACAAATGCTACAGACAGGCAGACTGAATAGATAAAAGAGAGATGTTTGAATTAGCTTCTCATATTGCAACAAAGGAATGCAAAGAACATCTGGCAATCTGGCTATATGTATGAACTATGAATAATAATCTCATTCCTAAACTGATACATCAGAAGGTGTCAAATTCAATACCATATGGCTTAAAGCAGGGGCAAACCAGAAACCAAGAACAAGCAAGCAATCACAAAGATGAATAACTTTATCCTATCCAATCTAAGCAAAAGAACCGATTGAATGGCAGCAATTTACGAAGCAGTCTCAATCACAAGAAGATCAGTTAAATTTAGAACATTCCTCACAAAGGCAAAGTAGATAACAGAAATTAGATAAAATCATAAATTCTGAATTCTTAAGCAAGCAAATCTTCAAAGGCATAAGGGGGGAGCCTTTCCACAAATGAGAACAGTTGAAACAAATCCAAACATGAACTTCCAATTCAAAGGAAAAACAGCTGCAAGAGTAAATAAGCCATTAGACAAAGCTCATAATTCATTTAGAACTTTCTATCAAATCATTTATCTTCTGAAGTCAAGTTTCACCCTTTCACAACAAAGTTCAAACATTTACTCTTCCAATACACAAGATAATCAGAGTAAGTGAGACTCACATGCCAGTAATCGTGATCAATTGTGAGCAGTTTGGTGACCGCAAAAGAACTCGCAGCTAGAACAATCGTTGCATTGATGATCCTATCAATAAACCTCTCGATATCCTCTTCTCCTCTCCCGTCCCCTCCCCCATCCCCAACACCATACCCAGATCCAGAAGAACCAAAACCTTCAAACGACAACATACCGTCACCTCCAAATCCACCCACCGGACTTGCCAACTCTCCCTCCCCTTCCATCTCCACCTGACTCACCATAACTCCCTCCTGCATGTCCGTACGATCCTCACTCTGCACCGGTATCACATCAAGCTCCTCCGCAACCGAATTGACCGTCACCAATCTAGCTCTCTCGTTCTTCCGCTGATTGTTCCCCGAGAAAGTTTGGTTCTTGGGGGATTTTAAGTTGATCCAAGTAGAAGTGGAACAGTGTCTGGAAATGGGTTTTCTGGGTTTCGAAAGAGAAAGGAGGCTCTGAGGAGAGATGGTTGTATGGGGAGCAGCCATTGCTGAGCTATGGGAGGAATTGAGTCGAGCCGAGCCGAGTTGACTTGCCGTGAAGCCAGAATAACTGCCACCGTCTTCGTTTCTCCGGTTTGTAACGAACGGGAAGAGGGATTTTATGTCCGGCCCAGTGATTCAGTGCGGTCAAGGTCAGAATTCCATACTGTGGATTCAAGTCGGTAACAATAATGACGGTAAAGATGAGATGGGTTCTCTGATGGACGGTTAGATATTGGACTAGAAGTTGATAATCTTTGTGTAAGAATTTGATTGGTTGTAGTGTGATGCAGGGGATGATTTCTATCGTGTGGTGGATGGGGTGACAAGGATGAGAAATGTAGTCCACATAAAGGAAGATTGCTGACTTGGAAAATCCTCTTCCTTTTTTTTTTTTTTTAATGAAAAAAACTTGGGAAGTGGAGTGGGCTTGTTCACATTTTTATGGGGTCCCGCTTGATCTGTGACAGCAATCCTAAGCCTATTAGTAATCCACACGATGTGGGTCTAAAGGCCCACTTATGAAAATTACATTTTTGAAGTATGTGGTCCTTGGTTTGCACAGAACGAGTTATCTGTACCATTGTTTGATATTATAAATTTATAATATGAAATATTATTATATAATTAATTTTTTATTTAAAAATTCACTTATTATATATATATTCATTTGTTTAATATTATATCATAACTATAAATTTATAATTCTTACATTATTATAACATTATAACTATACCATTATTGTTGCTATATAAAACAAAAAAGGTTAGATGGAAAAAGCTCTTAATATATTAAGAGACCTAATTTTCGTTTGAAATTGACTACAACATAACAATTACATGATTATTTAATCGAGAAAAAGGAAGAAGGTTCCACCGAGATTTGAACTCGGGTTACTGGATTCAGAGTCCAATGTCCTGACCACTAGACCATGGAACCTTTAGTTGTGAGGAAGAGCATTAAAAAATACAAGACCACTGTAAACATCTCTCTTTCCTCTGCCACACAGTCTGGCAAAACTTGTGGTTGTGTCCTTTAATCATATATTTTTTCCTGCCCTGCATCAGCAAGCTACTACTACAGCGCACTCATTTTGTGAGAATATCCTGCTTCTTTTTCCTTTTTTTTCAGCTGGCAGTTCTGTTCTCTAATGACATGAGGTATATATACCCTTTGCTTTCTTCGGGTTTCAGTTTTTGTTCATAGCTTCTGATCTAAAAGCGCTAATCGCTTTCCATGAACTGCAATCACACAAATCTGGCCTCTCCTCATGCCATTCGATGAATATGATATGGCCGAGTAATTGAATTTCTCTTATCTAGAAGATGTTAGATGCATCAATGAGGACCAAAGTGATTAGTTTGCAAGAAATGAGACAGTGGGGACATGACCAATTATGCTAACATTTTAATCCTTCCATCTCTATGTGGGAGCAAAAAACCCTAACATTTGCTTCATATGATAAAGTTTGTTACCCCGCATCATTTATTTGTTGATATTAAGGAAATCTTTAAATTTGGGTTGTCCCACACTCCCACCCCCAACTCCCACCCCAAAAACACCTTTTTAATATTGGTTTGGCTAAATGTCAATTTTGATCCCTAAACTTTAGGGTTTTGTAAAGTTTTTACTCTCTATTTTTTTTTACACTTTTTTTGTCCCTCAAGTAGTCAAGTGTAAGAAGTATATTTTTTAAGTTATTATGTTAATTAATTTATTAAAGTTATCTCTATATACACTTTTTTAGTCATTGAATTTTTAAGTTAAGAAACAAAAAATGTGCATTTATTATAATTTGAAAAACTAAAAATATACATAATTAAGTAGATTTAATAGATTAATTGATAAAAAAAATTAAAAAAAATAAAATTTTCATAATTAAGAGATTAAAAAAATGCATTAAAAATTAAATAATAAAAAGTATACAAAAAACTTAAAATTAAGAAATTAAAATTAACATTTAATTTAATAGTTTTGCCTCGGGTAAAATTGACATTTAACCTATTAGTTTTGCCATAGGTCGAAGAATTTGAATATGACAAAAATTGTTAGTTTGAAACTCTTCTATGCAGTTATATTTGGGGCAAAAACCTACTTTAGCCTCTCATATTATCAAGTTTGGAGGTTTTAACCCCTCATTTATTAAAATCGAAAAAAATAACATTTATTTTATACTGATTATTAATTATGTTAGCTAAAAATAAGTTTTTATCAACTAATAGTCAATTAACAGAATTAACGAAATATTATAAAATTAATTTTATTAATTCTGTTAGCTGAAAGAAGATTTTTGTAAGTTAATAATCAATTAATAATTAGTTAATAGAGTTAATAATATTAACAGTGAATTAATAGAACTAACAAAATATTACAAAGTAAGGACTATTTTTTTCAATTTTTATAAGTAAAGGATTAAAAATATCATAGTATAAAATTAGGGGTTAAAACCTATAGATTTAATAAAGTAAAGAGGTAAAAGTATTATAGTAGAATGTGAGAGATTAAAATCTTTAAATTTAATAAAGTGAGAAGCTAAATGTAAGTTTTTACCGTTATATTTTGGAAAGTACTATTTACCACCCTGCCAACTCGTGTGTACTTCTCAGCTTGTGAGTGAGAGTTCCGGCAGAGATGAGCGACAAGATAGTAGGATCGTGTTGACCAGACACCCAACCTAACCGTACCATGGACCTTGCCTCGCTTTTCAGCATTCAAGAGTCTCTCCGCGTTGCACTATTTTCTGGCCCCAAAAATAGTTTTCCGCAATCCAATCTATCTATCTAAGATTTACTGTGAAAAGATAAGACATTGATGAGATCTGTTTTGAAATCAGGGTTGAAGCAATTTGAATGAGCTATGTTCGCTATCCTCGTGTGAAAATTTGACCTGCGCTTGTAAGTAGCGAATATGTAAATAGCCGTGGAACTAATTATTGGATTAATGGTTTGAATTTACTCGGCATTAATTGGGCCAATTTGTAGATATCTTTTCGTACTTTTTTTTTTTTCAATACTTATTATGTAATTGGTTCAATTTTCATATATATATATATATATTTGACATGGATAATGGTTATAAATTAAAAATTAAGTTAGTATCTTACTTTTAACAAGATTCGACCACTGATCAGGAGTGTAATCCACCGAGAGCTTTGTTGGGTTACAGTAACTACCAATGGGTCACAACAAGATAATGTTCCATATATTTTTCTATCTTGGTCCATGTAGCCAGTTAAGAGCTAGCCTAAAAAACCATAGTACAAAGACACTCTAGGTGGTCATATGAATCAATTATTTAAGTATAATTGATAATTAATAATTATTAACTGATATGTTATATTTGATCATTATTATTATTTATAATCTAAAAATAAGATATAATTAAATGAGAACTCAAAAAATCAAGATATCTTGATGTTCAAAACATCTATTATAATCATCTGTTGAGTGAATTTCAAAAATAAGATTCACTCAATGATAACTATGATTAATGTCCTGAGTGTTAAGATGTCATAATTTTCATATTTCTGTAGTTAAATCTAGTAGAACAAGTTGATAAAAAAAAAAAAAAATCTAGTTGAACAAATTAAAATATGAGACTGTTATGTGCAATCACCTTTTCCCTGCGCTCTCCAACACCCTCTCATGTAAAACGGCAGTCCTTAATTTACAATTCTGAGTTCCCAACTAGCAAAATCCCCGTGGTTATTGTACACAAGAGAGTGTTAGAGAGTGCAGGAAAAAGCAACTATATTTAGCAATCCTCATTGAAACAACTAAACATGAATCCAGGCAGCATGAGTTCCAGTTTAGTTTGGAACACATGCTACAATTAATGGGTTTCAGAGAATTCATCGGGGAAACCAAAATGGATCTCATTACATCTCATCTTGTCTGGGTTTGTTCTTAAAAATGTCCAAAGGCACTTCATGACAGCGCTGGTATTGGGAATTTGGGATAGGATCACTGCTTTTTAAAAATAAATAGAATAAAATAAAATTTCGGCAACTAATACACACTTTGGTGTAATGGGGGTGGGAGAAAGGAAATGATTTTTCGGGGCTCGAACATGCATTTTACTTGGAGAGGTGATACCCATTACTAATTATGAGAGTTAAATTTAAATTTTAAAATAAATGAAAGTGAATGGAAAAAAACAATAATAATTATTTTTTATTATATAATTTATTATTTTATATTAAAAAATCAGTAACCTTCTAACTATTAAATCAAAGTGTAAGGATCAAATCATTGCTTAATTAATCTATTCTTAATGTTTGAATTGAAGATGTAATTTCTAGGAAGAAATCAAATATACAAAACTATTGAGTCTTCCACCAATGATTTACTGGTTCGAGTAGAATGAGTTTGATTTTTTTAAAATAAAATTTTGAATTTAAGTCATGTGAATGGAGAAATATGCGTTAAGAGAGTTTTTCTTCTAATAAGATCTGACTTGATTTAATTTTAAATTAATTAAAATTTAATATAATTATAGGATACTGAAAAATTAAAAAAAAAAAAAAAAAACGAAGAAGAAGAAGACCATTGAGCCTCCCCGGAGTCATGTTGGCTAAGAAATCTGATTTCTTCACCTTGGGGTCTGGGGTTCAAAGGCTGGTGATGGAGACGAGGATCCAAGTTCCAAAAATCAAAAAATACACAAGACTATTGAACTTGGAAAAAAAAGGAAAATTAGGCCAAGGGCTAAAGTCGGGGTTTTCTTTTCAAAGATA